TTCCCGCGGCCTTGGGGCGGGGGCGCCCGCCGCTGCCGTGGCAACGGGTAAAAAACGAAAGCGACCGCACGTTTTTGAGTCCAACCCGTCAATCCGCAAGAGGCAGCAGACACGTTTGCTACGGTAAGGACTCCTGCCTGCCCCTTGACACCTCGGTCTGCATCCTCCCTCCCGTTTCCAGTCCCGTGTGTGGTGAGACCACGTGGTGTCCGGGAGTTGCCCAACTCGGGGATTTTTCGGGGCATCTTTTCTGGAAGCCGAGGGCTGTGTTGTGCTTTGCAGAAGTGGGTTAAATTGCAGCTCTGCTCATCTTTAATGTGATGTTAGGATCACTAGGACTGGCACGGCCATTCTGGTGGGATCCACCGTTCTGTTTTAACCCCAGCTGGTCACAGGTTAAATCTGTCGCGGAAACGTTGCCTTGCAAGACGTTGATGGTGGCTTTAACAGTAGCTGGCCAGAGAATCTGGGGCTGCAGCCATATCCCAGCTCTGCAGTGACACAGAAGACTTATCTGCCTAACAAAAGAAGTCTTTTCTGCGTTATGAAATGATCCTGTGAATGATTCCCTTTGCTAGCGGAGCCCGCTGTGCGAGCTCCACGCCGAAGACTGACACAGCAGTGCACGGTGTTGGGGGAGAATAGTTGAGGGGAGACGCCTGCCGGAGCTGAAACACTTTCTTTGGCTTTAGAAACTTGCTCTGTAGGCACCGAAGCTCCGCAGCCCTTCGGGTGTTGCGTTACAGGTGCTCTGAGGCTGTCTGCCCGCCTGATGGCCACCTAGGAGCACTGGTGCTGAAGAGACTGCACGGGCTTCCCGCAAGCCTGGAGAGTTCACCTGCAGTTCCAGCTTCAGGAAACATTTGTAAATATTGGCTGGTACTATTCACTAGGTTTGGGAACAAAGCCATTTTTGCTTTTTAAACTCTTTTGCATTTAATTGGGTTGTCTCAGAAGAGCTGGGGTATTTGTCACCCCGTTTCTTGCTGGCTCCCTCCTTAATGCCCCGAAACAGTCATGGCTGGAGTTTTGCCTTTTCTCCTTCTCTCCTATTCTAACTCTTGTAAAGTTGGTGAGAAATTAAGTTGGTTTTCTTATATTCTGCTTACTCATCTGCTGAGTCCCACAACACCCTTTGCACATGATCAAACAAAGTAGAGCAGGGTGGGTGTTAAACAATATTCCCTGGGAGGCGAGTACCTTGCTTTTATAGCTCCATTCTGGTTTTCCCTCCTTCCCCCAAAGTCTGTGGACCCAGCCGTGTTTATTGCAATGTTTCTGAAGAGCAAATTCTTTATTCTCTTGAAGAGTGAACAATATGTTTTTAAAGAAACTCCTCCATAAAGGAATTATTTCTTCTCCCTTCATGCAACTACTCCATTTCGCTACGTGCCAGTGACTGACAGAACACACCGTTTGTTTGCACTCTGGTCAGTTTGGTACGTTTGTGCTTGGTATTTACACCACTGTGGGTCGAGTGGGAAGTTACAGTTTCTGATTCTGGGATCTCTGTGTAGCTGGTGGTGACGTTGGTGCTTTTTGGCAACGTGTCCGCTGCCAACAGTGGGCTCTGGAACGACCAGGGCAGATACTAAACTGTCACCTTATGGCAGTGCTCAAGTTATCTGGTGAAAACTCCTACTTCTCTCTTCCTTTGTGAGTTTCTGCCACATTCTCTTGCATTGCTTCAAAATGAATAAGAGGCAGAAAGCGTACGGTGGAACATTTTCTTCCCTCAGAGAGACCATTCCAAAGGGATTTGCCGATGTGGCAGGAGTCTGAATACCTGGGTTTCCCCTGCTGAGCTGTTGCAATATTTCTGGGTCTTGCCTGTCCTGTAGTTGTAGGTTGAATTCTTACAGTTCTGGTTTGAGCAGGACTTTGGTGCTAGAGAGTTGCCATGCACTGTCATGAGGCTGGATGAAAACCAACCGGTGTTTGCAGTCCTTTTTTTGTTGAACCGTTCGGGTTCTTTACAAGTTTTGCATTGCTAATATGCTTGGTGACAGAGCAGATGCGCAGGCTCTTGTGATTTCTCTTTACAGCAGTCGAAAGAAGGAGAGAAGGGAGAATAATTGATATTTGAGCTGCTGGGTGACGGCAGGGACCGCAGCCGGCCTGCGGGAGCGGAGGGAGAAGCCGTATATGTGGCTTTTCGCTGGGGGCCCCGTGTCTCACCTGGTTTGTGAATGGGCAGCATTAAGAAAGGGAGCCTACAATGCCAAGGGTCGTGTTTCTGCGGGGCTTTCAGCTGGTGCCTATTCCCTGGTTTATGTTTCAGGAAGCTCCGAGCCACGCTGGATGAGTACACCACCAGAGTGGGGCAGCAGGCCATCGTTCTGTGCATCTCGCCCTCCAAACCCAATCCTGTCTTTAAAGTATTCGGTGCTGCACCCTTGGAGAACGTGGTAGGTGTCTCTAGGAAAAGCTTTGTAATGAATGGTCTCATTCTGCTCAAGGCCGCCTCGTGAGCCCGGTAGTGATCTGGAGGTCGTGTTTAAACCCTTGGAAACAGGAGTTCAGAGCGTGTGGACCTGAGGGTAACACGGAGGTCCTGTCTTCTCTGCGTGAGTGGTTGCCTCACCAGGGCTGAATATCCTGGATTAAAAATCAGAGGGAGCAGGTAGTGAGGATGTGTTTGAACTCAGCTTGGCTGTCAGCGCTTGCCCCTTGCTGCAGAGCAGACAGTAGGCGGAGCAGATCCTGACCATGATCTGTCTGGCTTCAGAACTTTTCTTTTTAATCCCATAAATACTTCCACTCGCCAGTGTTACCTGATGTTTCATCATCAGCTCTTCGATACGGCCGAGTCTTCAGGGCCAGTGGGTATTTTTTTTTTCTTGCCATCTGTGGCGTTGTTTGCTCCTGCTGTTCTGCAGCACCTTGGGGAAGGTGGCTGGCCCTGCGTCCTTGCCCCTGCCTCTCCTGGTGCTCCTTACCTTGTTTACCTGAGCTTAACGATTCCCCACAGGTACGCAAGTACAAGAGCATGATTCTGGAAGACCTGGAGTCCGCCCTAGCGGAGCACGCTCCTGCACCTCAGGAGGTTAACTCGGAGTTGCCGCCCCTCACCATCGATGGCATTCCCGTCTCGGTGGACAAGATGACCCAGGTAAGCAGCCAGACGTGGCAGAACCAGAGGGAGAGAGGTTTGGCACCTTGCAGTTGCATCCTGTTGTTTTGCAGTGGAGCTTATGCCTGCGTCTCCAGGGGATGCATTCGATCTCCTCTTTCCTGTGGGACCGTAACAGCTCAGGTAGATGCGGAGCTTCGTCATTGGTGCTTGTTTTCTCCGTGAAACAGTAGACATGCTGGTAAGGACTAGAGCTCAGGCTGCTGGGAGCATTCCCCTTCGAGCTGTTTTTGTCATCTCCCATAAACGACGAGTAGGGAAGATACTCGTTCTGCACTTCACCGTGGTTTTTAGGCACGGAGGTCAGGAAGGTCGCTTGCGGAGTAGTGTTCAGCTTATGCTCCTTGGACCTTTCTTGTGTGCTCTAGTTCGTTCCCTCCTCTGTTTTCTGCTGTGGATTGGAGCAGAGGGGAGCTTGCCAACGGTTTAACTCCAGTTCAGACCCTGAGTGAGATGCTTCTGTTGGAGACAGGGAGTCATCTGCCCTAGGCATGTGGGGGCACTCCCTTTCCTTCCAGGTCCAGCCCTTTGCTGACCACCTTATTGCTAGGAGAAAGTGGAGGGGACCCCCTTGGGAAGCTTCCTTGGTGGGGGAGGGATCATCTGTAGGGATCTCTCCTTCCCCTGGGGTGCAGGACCTGGATGCAGGCAGGTGTGTTTTGTAGGGGGCTCTGGATAGGCTCAGTCTGATGCACCCCAACAAACTTTAAATGCTGAAAGCCAGTTTCTTCAGAGGGAGTAGCAAGATGGAAAGGTCAGAGGCTTTGGGCAGTATTCAAAGAGGCGTTGTAGTAGAGCAAAGATGGGCAGATTTCCTCTGTGCTCTGCAGAAAGGTCACATTCTGGCCAAAACACCATTTCCATTACTTGGGTGGAATCAGACAAGCTCACGCTTCTAATAAAATTTTACAAAGAAATCCACTGTGATAACAGATCGTGTTCCCAATCCACGACAACGTAAGACAAAATTTAGTTGCTAGATTTTTAAGCCACTGTGAATGGTGGTATCTGCAAGAGCTGTTCACTGGCAGCTTTAGTTTTGTGTCATTAACAGTTTCCCATGGACATGGGAAAGTGAAAAATGGAAACATTTCACTTTTAAAGTAAAATGAGAGGCCACCAAAAGATCACAGGTAGGTAGCTCTGAGTTTATTTGTATTGGCAAACAAAATGCTTGTGTCTGTCTGACTCCTTTGTGGCCTCGTCATTATTGTCATTAAGCTGAGCAACAGCCAGAGAAGTGCCTAGGGCTTAAAAGAAGGAGAAGGAGACATCTCTGTGGAGATTTGCTCGGGCAGAGGGAGGCAATGCAAGCGTGGTGCGAGTAGTGAAGCTGAAGGTGCCCATACCCACAGCACGTGGGCTCTGAGGAAGGAACCAGTGAGCTGTCGCTGGTGGAGTGGTGGAAAGAAATGAGAGAGAGAGAGAGAAGTGAGTGTGGATGAGTGAAATCAGGACGTGAGGCTGTTGCAATCCAGTGAGACATCTGAGAAACTTGTCTGGTTTGCAGTGCTCAGAATAAGTGCCCGTATAAAAAGGGCCAATAAAAAGATCTAGCACCCGTTTGGCTGTTAACGTTGCACGTGCCATCAAAGCAGCAATAAAAGTGACGAGCTGTCGCTTCAGAGAAGCCTTCAGCTGGGTTCACAATGCATATCGTTTATTTTTTTGTGATGGAGTTGGGAGCTAACTATTTCAGCATCAAAGATTGCTTAAGTGTTTTCTGCTTCTATTTTATGGGTAAAATAGCGGTGTCCATAGAATTCGATGGATAAAACACTAATGCTTTTCATGTTGAGCTAAAAATAAGGTTGGCATTTGTTTCTTCCAAACGTGGCGTGGCCTCAGTCTTCCGGAAAGACTTGGCCAAGCCCAGTTGCCCCTGGGGTTTGACTGCTCTGCATTTCCACGTGTGAGGCAGCTCTCCAGTCCCAGGCGCTGAGTTTCCCCACCACCACCCAGGCTTCTTGTGGCTCTGTGAAATAAGTGTTTTCCCTCTCCATATTCTGCAGGGCTTTTGGTCAGCAAGCGTGCAAGCTGCTGATGCGACAGCGTAGCAACGTAGAGCCTCTCATTTCAAGTCCCCTCATCCTGCTTTATGGTAAAACAAGTGTCTTGTTAGGAGTAGCCCTTGTCTTTGTAGTGCAATGTGATAAACAGCTTTGTGCAGAAGGTTTCTCCTGAGCCTTGGACAGAATCCACGCTCTTTGTGTCCCGTTTGGCTAACCATCGCTGTCCCAGTTAGCCCAGCTGTTGTGGTGGATGCACACGGGGTGGGTACCCAGTGCTGCGCTGCCTCAGCTTCCCCAGGTGTCATATAGGGACGATGCTTTGTAAATGGCTTTAAAAATGTGGGTTTTTTTTTTTTTTACACCCTTGAATGGCTGCAGGCCACTTGAGGGCAGAGCACTAGGTTCATGAACAGGACCGCAGACTCCTGGGTGCGTTTTCACAACCCAGCAGGTCTTTCTTCTTGTAAAATTTGCCAGGAGTAAGATGAGGTATGTGGTGCTTAGGAGGTGATTTTCTTGCTGAAAGCATCCAGCTGCTGTATTGGTTTTGCCAGACGTGGGGGCAAACTAATCAGAAGCAAAACACAGAGATGCTGATTATGATGAGGGCACCACCCTGTCTTTTCGGTTTTGCCACGGTTGCCGTTTGAAATACACTTGTTTGAGAGAGGGGGTGGTAACTCTGACCCCTCCATCACTGCAGCCTGTTGCACCGCTAGAGGTGCCGTCGTTTTTTTGTGGGAACCTTGATTCCCAGAGCTGCCAGCGTAGTTCTTTGTATTTCCTAACAAGAAATGAGCCTTTTCAACTAAGTTGCACAAAACCCTGTGGAAAACCGAAATATTTATAAATATAAATTGGGCAGCACAATGAAGAGGTGCGTCACAGGGAGTGGAAAAACGAGGCCTCTGCTTTCAGCAGCTGCAGGTGTCAGCAGGCAGGTGGTAGAGGCGTTAGCTCCTCGACGAGGAGATGAAAATAACTCTCCTTTTAATTGCTCTGCTTCCCTGGTGGTCTTGAGGGAAATAAAGCCTTTACTAGCCTGAGCAGAGATGCTTCTCTAAACTTGCGAATGGAGAGCATCACCCACCTTGGCTGAGCAGGAAAAAAACCCGTCTTGCAGTGGGGCTTTTACCCTGCAGCCATTACACAGAGAAATCTTGTTGCTTCATGGGCTTTGGCAACGTTGACACTATACGTCAGAGCTGAGTTTGCCCCTAAACTTGTTCTTAGTTGCTTGCTGATACGATTAAGGAGTGAGATTGGGTACTGCTGAGGTCGGTGCTTCAGTCGGTTCTCACTGAGGTCACTAGGATTTGTTTATGCTTTTCTGAACGGGTGGTTTGTCCTTTAATCGGACATTTTTTTAGACTTCCTCTGCCCCTGTGATTCGCAGTCTGCTTGTACAAGCCAACAAAGTTTAGCTGGGCCTCTCAAAAATCATCTGGATGGCTGTTTGCATCCTGCCCTGCAAAAAGCTTTAGCACAAACAGCAGGTATCTTTATCGACGTGACCGTTTGTACGTAGGAGAAGCCAAGCACCGAAAGACGGTGACTGAACTCAGTCTGCGGCTGCCAGATCCTCTCCATGGAGGGCCAGGGACGATCCTGCAGTGCTGGACCCCAGCGCCTGGGCGTGAGGCTTCGCTGGTGCTCCCTTCTGGTCCACGTCAGAGCTGTGGTGTGGGGCCAGCCTGCGTCTCTGCGCTCCCAGCAGGTCGTTGGCGTGTGGCTCGTTTTGCAGCGGGGGGACCCCAGTGTTCGGAATGGGGTCCCCCCGTGCGGCTGAGCTCTAGCACTGGATGGTTGTTCCAGCAGTGGGAAGAGCAGCAAGTCCTGCAAGGTCCTGGATGCAGGGATGAGCGTGTACTTCCAGCTGCCACGCAGGCAGCTCCCTCCTTTGACGGGATTTAAGCTCATAGCCTGCCTCGTGCCTCGTTTCCCGCGAGAACAAGCGCTCGTGCCCAGCGCTCAGATCTCCAAACTCTGTTCGGAGGTGGTGACCCTGAGAGGGACAGCCCGGTCCCCTGGTGTGCCCCTCTGAAACATTAGAGCTACTCGCTCATTCTTACGACTCGAGCAGGGTTTCAGGGTGGAAGAGGAGAGAGAGCTGCGTAAATCCGTGAGCGGGCGCTTCCGCAGCACCTCGTGCTTTCCGCGCCGATGACCGGGTGGTGAATTTTGGGTTGGATTCCTGTGGCCAGGCCTAAACTACTGCATCTGCTGAGTGCTGTCCCTTCTTGTTGAGGACACCCAGGCTGACCCCCGCCCTCATCTTTGCCGTGATGAATTTACGGCAGTGGCGAGCCCGCTCTCATCCTGCCTGCCGGAAAGCACCCGGCAGTGAGACCTCGCGGAGTTTGGGCACGGCCACGCAGGTTTTCATAGCAAGGAATTCATGGTGACAGCTTGGTCGCTCCCTTCACAGACGCCTGGCTTTCTAATCGGAATGTTTAAACATTAATTGGGACTTTTAAAGAGCATTTAGTCTAAAATTCGCTGTTGCAAAGAGAAGGGCCAGTGCACAAAACACCTGGGTGCTTCGCTGCAATTGCTGCTTCGCCCTCTGCCACTTTCAGGTGCAGCCGAGGTCCCGTGGGGACTCTTTTGCTTTTCCCAGGTGCTGCTTTTTGGAAATCCTGAGGCTGAGCTGTGGGGACAGGTAGAAAATTCCCAGCCACAGGTTTTGCTTCTTTCTAGAAACCACTTTCCTTAGCAGGGCATAAACCTTGAGACTGGAGAATTGCTTCGTGCTCCGCATGCAGGACAACTTCTTGTTCCCAGCCCTGGAGTGCAGTTGCCTGTGCTTTGGGCCAGTGTAAATGGTAGAATCAGGATTAACTCGCTACCACTAACACTTGAGCTTCATGTTAAAACTTAGACGATGCTCGGTCTGTTTACCAAAGGGTGTCAAAGAAACATTTCTTGCAGCTTCGCTCAAACCCTCCGCACTAGAGATTATACGAGCCCTTTCCAGAGCTGACAGCCACGCAAACTGGAGTGTCCTGCTGCCTTTTTGTGTGTTTTTAGCAGAGTTTTGATTTTCAGGTGGTTCTTCTTCTAGCAGAGGTTTGATTTTGGGGCGGTTCGTGGATGGGGTCAGCAGAACGCGTGGCTCCCACAGATGCACCGGTTCCTCCCAGCTGCGCCCCGAGAGATGTGGGGGTCTTTGTCTCGGTGCCGTAGCCTGTGTCAAAGCCCTGCGAGCTGCCCGGGCGAGGCCTCGTTACGGCACTAATTAGAGAAGTCCTCGCGCTGGAGCAGGTTGTCACGCCGCTGCTGATTGTCTCCCTGGTGGATTAAAGGCAAACCCTCCTTAACAAGTGCCTTGAGTAGCTTGGGCTGCTGAACTCCCTAGGACCAGTAATTAATCCATCTGGTAACAAGGAGCATGGCTTGCAGATAGCAATTCCGAGAAGGAGCTTTTTAACTGGTTTTGCCCCAGGTTCCTCAACCAGGGAAGCTGAAGCATGAGGGGGACTCTTGGCCCATCATGGACAGGCTTGGCTTGCGCTGGGACAAAGGGCACCAGAATGGTTTCTTGTGCCTCCATTTATGATTCAGGGGGTTGGTACAGCTTCTCTGAGATGGCTCAGGGTGTCCATGGGGTGAAGGAACTGAAATGCAGCTGCTTCTCTGAGCAGGGGTGATTCTTCCAGGGCGTGCAGCAGATACGCTATATGTGGACCCACGAGCACACTGGATTTTTATTGCCTTTAAAGTCCCTAGCCACTGCTGCAAACTGTATGCAATGCAGTAAATCATGCTACAAATAAATAGTTTTTACCAAAACACACTTCAGTTTTTCTATTTGACTGTGTGAGCTAGGGCCCACGTTACATCTGCCAGCTGGGCTCTGCCTTTGAAGAGCAGTCCTGCGTCCGAAAGAGCCGCTGCAGGTCTCAGTGCTTTCAGCAGTGTGCTTAGGGGCTTCAGGCTCTTTGCAGAGACCACAGAGACGATCTTCAGTCTCCTGTTCCTCTGAAGACCGATGTTATGGGGGGCTTTGGTACGTACAGCCTATGCTAACGTGGAAGAGGCAGCTTGTAAATGAGTTGATTTGCAGCTTGGAGCCAACAGATGCAATATCCAGGCTGGAACCAGGATGTCATTCAAGCAGGATTGTGGCTGGGAGGAAGGGACAATCCTATGGCAGAAGATGAGGGATGAGTGAGAAGTCCTCCATGAGCTGACCCGTCTCTCTGCTAGCTGCGACCACATCGTGGCTGCGGCAGGCACCCCTAGTGGCTCTTCCATGGCTGTGCCCCAGAGCCCTGAACATGCATCTCGGGGTTGTAAGGTGGCCCGAGGACTCCCAGTGGCACTGTCACGAGCTCAGATAACTTGCTGTTAAAGCTATGAAGGGGTGTAGGGAGGCATCCTTAAACGCAGCTCTTTAGCTTTAAGTTAACGTGGTTTTCTCTGACGTAGGCGGTCGTGGGCGCTTCTCCTCTTCCTGCTCTGTTTCTGCAGCTGAACCAGCCTTTTCCTGAGGCTCCAGGCAGTCCCCGGTACAAAACCCAAAGGTGTCATAAAACCCTGTGTGAGCTTTGTATTCTCTTTGGTAACGCTAAGGATATTCCTTGCGTCGGCTCAGTTTGCTTTGCCAGTCTGTTTTTAACGTTGTCTCCTGATCATAGCGGCGGTCACTAGTTGATCAGGTTTTTTGGGTGCTAAAGAGAGGTAAGATCAGGTTGAAAGGTGTCCCCACTCTGGCAAAGGTTAAAAATAGGTTCAGAAAATGAGTCCAGTGTGTGTTATGCTCTGCAGGGCTGGAGAAGTGTACGTGTGAGATTGTGGGGTTTACATTCGAGCGGCTCACTGAAGCTCCATCCTCTTTGCAGCATCTCTGTAAAACGTCAGCTCCCGCCTGAGTTCCTGTCCCTGTGGGGACATGGAGTGTGTGGGGTTTTTTCCTGTGTTGTTCTGATGAATTTTTTTATCCCTTTCAGGTTGGCTAGCTGTCTTCATGGTAGTGCTTGAACCATGAAGAGGGTTAATACAGTGTGTGTTTGTGCCTTGTTGTTGTAATGGTCTGACTGAACTTTGTTTCTGCTCTTCCACATGCTGTTGAGCTGTTCTCAGCTGAGTCTTGGGAGAAGATGGTAAGGTATTTGTCCGTCTTCCTTAGGCATTCAGGCCTCTTCCAGTTGATGGTTCCACCAACCATGGAAGTGAAATGTAGTAACTTTGTACTGTGCACCTCAGAACTACCGGAGCTAAGAGTTCCTCGAAAACTCTCAACCCTCTTCCGTGGTTTGTTCCAGGCACAGCTGCGAGCTTTCATCCCTGAGATGCTGAAGTACTCCACGGGCCGCGGGAAACCGGGCTGGGGCAAGGAAAGCTGCAAGCCCATCTGGTGGCCTGAGGACATTCCGTGGGCCAACGTTCGCAGCGATGTCCGCACAGAGGAGCAGAAGCAGCGGGTGCGTCTCTCCCCCGTCCATCTGCCTTCAAAGTGTGTCCAGGGGCTTGCGACCAGATTTTTGTGGGAATGGTTTTTCCCCTCGAGTGACAGAAAAGACTATGACCTCGGCCCTTCCTTGACTTTGTGTCAGACATTCAGCCTGGGAGAGCGATGAGATGAGAGAGGCATAACCTTCAGCCTCCTCTCTCTCTGCTGGGGGTTTGGGACGAGCAGGTATTTGAACCCCGTCTCTCCCTGCAGCGAGTGCCCTTTTCGCCAGCTGCAGACCCTGCCCGCCTCTGTGGCCTTATGAAGCAGCCTACCCAGCCCAAGACAAGGCTACTCTCCAAATATGCAGGTCATTTACCCTAGAGTCTGTACCATGGCCTCTTGAGGGATACTGTCCCACCCTGAGCAGCGGGGCCCTCTGTACGTAAAGAGAAGCAGTCAAGGATGTGCAGTGGAGCCAGGAAAAAATGAGGGAACTGGGTGAAAAGGTCTTGGGTATCGGTTATGGCCACGGATCCTGCATGCAGGGGATGTTTCTACCAACCTGTCACAAAGATAATCAAAGAAAGCTAGCGGGGTGTGCAAGGGGCAGGACTTGTGCAGGCCGATGCAGGTCTGGTTGGATGGGGAGGGATGCCTAGGGAGGCTGAAAATGGTGCGGTGGCAGCCGGTGCTTTCCTAGGTAGGGATGGTTTGCTACATGTTGGCCCAAATCCTTTAATTAGAATTCCTTGAAAGCTGGCAAAACAGATTTCATTGAGAAACTTCCCTTTCCCTTGGCCAGATGTGCTCGTTCTCTGTCCGTGCACAGCACTGCGATAACTCTCCGGGGTGATTTCTGAGTCGTGGGGAAAGGAGGGGATGAGGAGAGAGGGATTAGGGATTGGGGCCTTTTTTGTTTGAGAATTTTTTTTGAAAACTCCTCGATCACCCCCAGTGAAGATAAGCGTGCCAGTCGCAGCAGTAGCAGTGGTTCAGAAAACTTTTTTACACTGACTCCTGGGTGGTTTTCATTCTGCTGGTAGGTGTCGTGGACCCAGGCGTTGCGGACTATCGTGAAGAACTGCTACAAGCAGCACGGGCGTGAGGACCTGCTCTACGCGTTTGAGGATCAGCAGACACAGCAGCAGACGACGACCACACACAGTATAGCGCACCTGGTGCCGTCACAGACGGTGGTACAGACCTTCAGTAACCCTGATGGCACCGTGTCCCTCATCCAGGTGAGCGAAACCCGACGGTTTTTTGCATTTCCAGCACGGCTGACTCGGGATCCAGTTGCCTGCGTCGGGGAGGTGGTTGAGAGCAAACTCCTTTTGGGAGCTTGACTTGTCCTTCAAGAATTTTGTCTTTTATCTGTATGTCTTAGCCCGCAGGCTTGTTAACCCGAGGCTCCCACCCAAAGAAGCAGCCTCATCCTCTGTCTTCCCCGCTCCCATCCCTTGTTCTCCTGTTAGGGCAGTACAAGCGTTTCTGCAGCTGTTTACTCAAGCGATTCAGGGCTCTGACCTGTATTTACCAAACCTATTTACCAACAAATACAGTTCATCATGTGGCCGTGCAACGCCTGTGGTGGCAGTGGGGTGCAGTGATGGGAGGAGAGGTGGTGGGACTGCCTTGCTTTACGGGCATGAAACGTACCTTAATCCACAGCATTAGGTATTTCTGTGCCCCCTGTTCTTTGTCTTACACCTAAAACATGATAAATATTTGCTGTGTGTAATATATATATTTATCCTCAGGCTGCCCCGTGCGGTAAGGATGCCTCTTGCACCGTTTTACAGAGGGGGATTCAGGGCAGAAGGGGCTGCGTTCAGGTGGTGGCTGATCTGTGCTGCTCTTTTCCCTGCGTTCCCCGTGTGGGGAGGCAGGTTCTGGCAGCTCAGGATGTCAAAAATGAAAGCGCTCTCTTGAAACTTCCCATGAGCTCCTCGTGAGGGTGGGATTTGAACCTCAGTCTCCCCTGTCCCCCTGTCTCCACACCACCACTGCCCTCTCGCATCTCACTGACCCCGCGGTTTGTCCCTCTTGAGCATCACATTTGCAGTAAAGTCTCAAACATCGTTTTCTGCTGGCTGTTCTCATCTCACGACTATGAAGATAAAAACATGGGGTGTGGGGTTGTTTTAGTGGGGATTTTTTGTTTCTTTTTTGTTTCTTTTTTGTTTTTTTCTTTTTTCTTTTTTTTTTCCCCCAGACGAAAGCTTTTCAGCGATTGTCACAGCTTTCTGTTCCCCTCGCCGAGGCCCGGCGCGCTTGCCGAGCTGGTTCTGTTTGCTCACCTGCTAACGTCCATTTTCCCTTAGGGTTCCGTTAGGTGCTGGGCACCTGAGCTCCCATTGACTTTCTGGCGTTTATAGGTTCAGTTTTCCTTCGAAACAAGGCTGCGCCTCTCTCTGCCTTTGTCTTTTCCCAGCTCTTAAATTGGGAAAAGGTAATTTCCAAAGGCAATGGGGTGTTGCGGGTGAGCTAATGCTTGCCAAGCGCCTGGAGACAAGAGACCCAGTCAATGGTAAGCAAGGAGCGTTATAAATGAGGGCTGAGGCGCAAAGTGTTCTGATCCAGGACTACTCGGTGGGTTTCCCAGTGATTTCCACCCTGTGGGAGAAGCGTGTTGGCTCCACGCTCGCAGCCGGGAGCGGCAGCGGGGTCCCGCTGCTGCTCTACGCGTCTGGGGGAACAGCCAGGGCTCGGGCTCCTGCAGGGGTGTAGGGGACACCACGAGGGCTGGGCAAAGCTTGCCTCTGGGCTGTACCCACTCTGGAAGCTGCCACAGACGAACGTGGCTCTGGCGTGCGATTTCCTCCCCCAGCCCTTTGAGCCAGCTCCGCGCTGGCCGTCAGCTCTGCGATCGCTGTTGTTCTCTGCTTTTTACCCTGAGAGCATCCGAGTGTCCCTCGGCCTGAATTATGTGGGCGTTTTCCTGCAGTGACAAGCACGTTCAGCTGCGTTTTGTTGGCTTCCACAGGTTGGCACTGGTGCTACCGTTGCCACGCTGGCCGATGCCTCAGAGTTGCCCACCACAGTCACCGTCGCGCAAGTCAATTATTCGGCAGTCGCTGATGGAGAGGTAAGGGCCTGGATCACGCTCGTGGCGCACAAACAAATTGTCTTACCTGAACTTCAATAAAGTTAAATATTTTCTAGGATTAAGCAGTCACAGGAAACACCAAGCCTTGCTTCCCTGCCCTGCAGTGATAGGGGTTAACATACGTACGAACACGAGACTCTCTAAATTTTTATATAAAGCGCTGAACTGTTGTCGTTTTGACTCGGAACTGTACAAACACGATTATGGTGGAAGCCTCGGTTCTGAATTTCATGCATTTTTTGATATCTCAGGTTGTTTATTTTGTGAGATCTGCTGCGGCAGATAGAGGCTGAGCGACGCAGAGAAGTACGCGCTCGTGTATCTCGTGTCTTGTGTGCGCTGTGGGTCCCGGGTGCTGGTTTGTCAGTTCGGGGTTGGGAGCGATGCCTGGGGTATTTTGAGCCTGTGGTTAGTGAAGGATATTGCATGGCTGTGGGCAAATCCTGTGAGCCTGGCTGCTGATCTCTGCACAAACGGGGGCTGTTCCTGTGCTGCAGCTTTTAGGGAGGTTTGCAAGTCGGTCCCAGAGAGAAATGCACAGAGACAACGGGAGACACTGCAGAGTGAAAGTTTCTTCCACTGCCTTAGAACTTGGCAAAGCTGTTTCTGTCAAGGACTCGATCAGGCCATTTCGATGCCTAAATCTGAACACTCAAATTTGCATACATTTATTTTTCCACTTTTTTTTTTAAAAAAAACAAGTGATAAAGGGTTTTTTTGTGTGTTTAAGGAACAATCCTTTAAGATTACAAAGCTTTTTTTTAATTTTTTTTTTTTTTTTAACCCTCTTCACCCCCAAACCCACCTATAAATCAGGCTGCAGGTCGCTTTCTGCCCCTTGGCATGGCAAAATTCCTGGCCCGACGGTCTGTGCGCAGGAGTGGCAGGTCTGGGGCTCTCGCAGCGACAGGTGGCAGCACAGAACAGCTTTGCTCTGCGCCAGACCCCGTTTCCATCTCAGACCCGTGGTGGAGCAGCCTGGCTCTGGGGCCGTGACCTTGTACTTTTGCAGCTGCTTTGGGGGTTTTCCAGACCCAGTTATATCTCTTGCGATCGGAAAGGACATTTTCAAAGGCACAAATAGAAATCGGGGCAACGCAGGCATCTAATTCCCGACGTGAACGGAACGTCTAAGCGATATCTTGGACAAAATAAAGGCACAAAAGCAAACTTGCTGTGGGGGTGGGTGCTCTTTCTCTGCGCAGGTAGATCCTCAGCCTGCTGGCAGCCTCTCCAGGGCCGTTTTTGTCCTGCTGTCTCTTGCTGTGTGAAGATCTGAGCTAGCTCTGAGTAAATCGAGGTGTTTACAGGATGCCGAGCAGCGTGGAGCAGGGATGCTCCCTCGTATCTCAGTGGCACAACCTTTGTGTTAGTGTGGAGAAGGGCCTGGACGATCCCCCGCTTCTTTTCCAGGCCTTACTCCATCCTTCTTGGGAAACAGCGGGGCACTGTGTGTCACAGTGGAGACCGGCCTTATCACTCATACACTTGGCCGTGTATTGGACAAAAATGTATGTTCCTTTTCTGTGTGGTGGTGGGAAGGGTGTCTTTCCCAGCTTGGGCTTGCTTTGGTTCGGTTTTGGCACGGCTAGCGAGTACCACAAATTCAGTCCGACTCTCTCAAGACCTCTACTGTCTGCAACGTCTTCCTCTCCGGGCGCTCAAACTTGGTTGCATCTAAAAATCCACTTCCTTTCTCCTTTTTTGCAATGCACTGTCTCGCTGCTTCCTCCCTGCTTTGGATCCTTCCGCCCAGGGTCAGCTCTGGGCACAGGAGAGTGAAGCAGTGGCCTTGAACGTCAGACGGCTGGGGATGGCTAAAGAGCTACGACGAGCGTCAGCTTTGCCTGTGCCCAAGTGCTGGAAAACCAGATTGGCAGCTGCTGAGGAGTGTGTGATAGCAGATGTGAGTGAGAGCACGACAGCTTCTCTCTCCCTCTCCGTGCTGTGATGGTACTAACCCTTATCTTGCCCAAAAGCAGCAAAATTTACTTGAGCCAGCTCTGCTTCTATGGACTTTTTAGCTTTTCTCCATCTTAACAAATGGAGGGTTGTTTGGGGTTTTTTTTCAACACCTTCTACAGCATTCTTGTTTGTGTGTCTCAACAAGATGATGAGTGGCCTGAAATGTTTATGGGGATGAGAACAGCGTTGGAGGGGTGGGGGAAAATCTTCGTCTTGCAAAGCAGTTGTTGAGCCAGCTCTGCTTCTATGGACTTTTTAGCTTTTCTCCATCTTAACAAATGGAGGGTTGTTTGGGGTTTTTTTTCAACACCTTCTACAGCATTCTTGTTTGTGTGTCTCAACAAGATGATGAGTGGCCTGAAATGTTTATGGGGATGAGAACAGCGTTGGAGGGGTGGGGGAAAATCTTCGTTTTGCAAAGCAGTTAATAGGATTTGACGGCTGATGGGCCTTCGTACCCTCCATGTCTTTATTTTTTTGTTGTTGTTGGTCCAGTGCATATTTCTAGTTCATATCCTGGTGGATTTTGTGGCCGTACCCTCATTATCTCATGAGCTGTGAAGTCCCAGATGCAGAGAAGTGGCTAGGTGGAAAATGAGCAACTGAGTGAACTTTAACTAGTATGAAACCTGTCTACGTAAAGGTCTGAAGTAAGGGAGTTGAAAGTACCTGAAATATAGGAACACAGTACTTTCCATCTGCCATCTTCTTTTATCAAGTATATTGCTGCAACACAAAGAAATTCCAGTTGGCTCAAACCCAGCCAAGTTCCCAAGTGCCGTACAAATGAATCCTGAACGGGAACACCGACTGTTCCCCGAAGTGACAGCGGGTGGGTGCAGGCAAATCAAAACAGTGAGGCAAGCGCAGCCCCTTTCCCCGGGGGACGTGATCCACGCTGGGGTTCCAGCACTGCAGAAAGAAAACGTTAATGAACTGCCCAGGCTGGCAGGCAGTGATCCGAGTACAGCAACTCTTCCCTTTTGTTGTGGATGTGGCTGGGCCAGAGGGATTGGTGGGAGGTTGAGGGGCTTTGCAGGTGTTTATGGGGTGCTTTTTCCACGTGCGTGGGAAAGTTAAAAGTTCCTGTTTGAAGACTGAGCATGTGGAGAACAGCAACTAGAATGATGGGCTGATCAGGGAAATTCGCTCGTGGCAGGTAGAGGGTTGTAGGGTCCAGCAACGTTCTCGGGAGGATCGCAGGCTTCCTCCCTGTTTCCCCCCTCCCCGTCTCTCAGAGTCAGAGCATGTGCAGGATTCTGCAAAGATCTCTTGAAACCATCTGGCCCTTTCATTTTAGGAAGCAACTGTGCGTTCATGGGATAACATCCTATCCTAGGGCCTTTCTTCTGGTTTTTCCCCATAGGTGGAGCAGAACTGGGCAACGCTACAGGGGGGTGAGATGACTATCCAGACGACGCAGGCATCAGAGGCCACGCAGGCGGTGGCATCATTAGCAGAAGCAGCCGTGGCAGCATCTCAGGAGATGCAACAAGGAGCGACTGTTACCATGGCACTCAACAGGTAGGCGTGAGGGATGAAGGCCTGAAGCGTGCATGCATGACGGTTCTTTCCTTCCAGGATTTCACTCTAACAGTGCAAAGGCCGCTGCGTACGGTCCCAGTAGAGGCAAATTCCTACGTCAGCCTGTGTCCAGGTGTCTGCAGGACAGTTCCTGATTTCCACTGTAACCGCAGAACACCGCTGGCGTGGAGATTTCCCAAAAGAGGAAAAGACAGGTGGAAACTGTACCCTCTGAATGGTCTTATCTGTACAGCCAAGGTCCAGTTGGAGAATTGAGCTTGCTAAGCAAGCAAGAGTCACCATGTGCTAAGAGCACCTTTTAAGTAGGCTGGTCTGGGTCTCCCTCAGTGTTATTACTGGTTTCTTACCAACAAGCTGAAGCTCAGTTTCCCTGTTGTGCGGCAGTACAGTCTCTCTTTAGAAGTCAGAATTTCTTCTAGAGGACGGTGGGTTTGGTTTGTTTGGGTTTTGGTTTTTTTTTTTTCCCCAAACGCGTTTCTGAAGCAGAAGGTGAATGAGCTGCAATAGTGATGCTGCCTCTTCATCTCGGAATGAGCTCTGTTAGATTTTTGGTTGTACTCAAGTTACCAACATCTGCAGGATAGTTCGCTTCAGGTCCGTGCAGCAGGAAACGGTGTCCTTGCTCAGCTCTGGTGAGTTGCTTTAGCTTTGCCCTACTGTTCTTCAACACTAGAAGTGGCCGTGGCACACCACAGCTGCACCCTGAGAGAGCAGGAGGCACCAGCATGGGAGGTTTCACGCTGCTGAGACACAGACAAAACATTTTCCTCGTCCAAATCAGGACTCTGGTCTAGAGTCTGTTGACTGAGCAGCCATGAGTTAGGACAAGGCACAGGTCCACACTGCTGAGGGTCAGAGTGAAGCTCCAAGACCAAAAATTACTAAAGGAGTCGTCTTAGTCTTGGGGCATTCCACATCTTGCTTCCAAATTGCTGTTGCCACTCAATCACGAACTCACCTAGAACTGTTTCTTCTCTTCGTGGTCCAGATTCAGGTCCATCAGAGATGTTCTTTTCTGCTACCATATGGCGTTGGTTAAGGAGGCATTTTTGCTAACAGTTTCACTGTAAAATTGCCTTTTAAAAACAAGTGATCTTTTCAGGACACTGTAAGAAGAACAGCTAAACTAGCTAGGCATGGAGTTGCAGGAGAAAGCCCCATCCCCTGGAATCTGCCTTGCAGGATTTGTGTCCTCAACATTTCTAGGCAATAGATTTTTCTATGTATTTTTTTTTTTTAAGTTTTTCTGGATTAGTACATCAGTGGGCTTCTGATTTTAATTTCATCCCGTCGCTACTAGTTTTAGCTCCTAAGGTCACAATGAGCTGTTCCTCTTCCTCTATTAGCTTAAGAAATTCAGAATCCTTAATAAAAAAAAAATGTCAGAACTAAAGAGAGTCTTCTAGAAAATATGAATGAATACAAGAGCCTTCAGCAGGTCTTTTAAGTTTCTACTGTGCCTCGAGACAGGACCAGCTCTGTTTATACCCAGGAAAGCCCTGAGACAAGTCTGTTCAAACAGGTTGTAGTTCAGGAACGACACGAAGACTGTAGCAGCGTTGCAGTGGGGATGAGAGGCCTTGTGTTTTATCTCCCGGCTTGTTGTCACCATCTTTGTCTAATCACCATGGTAGGGCTGGAGACCCTTTTGGGTGACTCTCCTCCGACGCCCTTCCATGTGCTTTTTCCTTTGCCTCAAAGCGCTCCTTGCAGCTTTCAGCTGTAGGACTGTGATCTTCCACCTGCCTGCAGGAAGATCTCAGCCAGACTCTGGTCCTTGAAAGCTGGTGGCTCACCCCAGCTCTGGCAACGTTATGCCTAATTTGGCTGAAAGTCGCCACCTCTCAGTCTTGTTCCGATGGCTGCTGACAGAGCGCGGAGCCTTTCGTAGCCCCGCGTAGAGCAGTACGTCTGCCCGCAGCGCGACGTGGTGGGTGGCGCACCCTCTGTCAGGTTTGAGGGTGGGAAGTATTAGGCCTTCCAGTAAAAGAGGACAAAGTGGAGGTAGGTAATGAATGCATTGATGTGAACCAATTAACGGTTTGGGAGCACGCTGGAACTGGAGAAAGCTTGTATGCCGCAGATCATGATTATTTTCAGGGATGCAACCGTAACAGATTATCAAAGTGCTCGATTGCCCTTGAAAGTGGATTCAGCTAAGTGCTGTGTGAACCAGGGCTGCACCAATAAGTGCGTCCTTACCCCAGGTTTGCTGTGTGGTGGCTGGCTTTCCTGCACTGGAACTGCCTTCACGTAGCTGCAGGTTCAGAAGAGAGGTGAGGCAAAGGGAGTGAGAAAGCAGAAGGAGAAAACACTCTGTTTCGCTAACAGTGTTTAAGAGCAATTCTGAGAGACAGAGGGGCTCTTTAGAAATGAAAATACAGCCTGAGTGAACACAGTTGGAAAGTGTACAGCACCTAGCAGGAAATTAGGGAAGAGAAAGAATGAGTAGGAAGTACTGGGAAAATATTTGAGTCAATTGGTCTACCAGAGAACGAGCAGGGCAGTTAAGGAAAAGCATCCTAGGGGAATCTAAAGAAAATAGCTACTTTTTTAGTTCATTATGGTAAGAAATGGTAGGAGGTTCAGCTGCAGGAAGAAGGTGGCTTTGGAAGAATTTCGTGACTAGCAGTAGGTCACCAGAAACGGCTAATAGTCGTCCAACAGGCCTGGAGAAATCTGGGCGGCTGCTGGAGGATGCTCCCAGCACTCTGACTGTGCAACCAAACGGCAGATAAAATACGATGTTGATGAATGCCAAGTGATACACATACAAAGAAATATCTCCTGTATGTACCCAATAAGGAACTATGTGCTCCCAGTTACCATTCAGAAAGCACTCAGGGAGCAATTATCCTCCAGGAATGTTTTGTCACTGCTGAGCAGATATTGTCAGAAGAGTAAGTTGACTATTAGGAATTAGAGGGAAAGGCGTAGAGAACAAGCCAGGATTAGGCCCCTGGGCTAACTCATGGCGTGTCTACGTCTTGAACAGTGTGAGAAATGGTCACCCCAGTCAGATGTGTCGCATTTAGAAAAAGTCTGGAAAGGACAAGAGTGATCAAAAGCCAGGAAGAGTCCTTGCACAGTTAAGTGGACTTGGGAAAGAGATCACTGGAGGTCTATGAAATCATGAGGAGAACAAAAAGGGAGCAGATCTTTTCTGTTTCTCACAATATCAGACTGAAGGTCTGCCCAGCCGGACTGCGGCCGTGGTTGTCGGAGTAAAGAACGCGATTTTTCTTCGTACGGCATCTACTTAAATGTGGAACTCATTGCTACAGGATGTTGTGGAAGCAAAAAGTATAAATGGGTTTCAGAGGGGATTAGGCAAATCAAACCTGATGGTCCAGATGCAGTCTCTGATGTAGGAAATCAATATGCTGTCGACCGTCGGAAGCTGAGAGGGTGTAGGAAGAGAAGGATCACACACGCTCCTTCCTAAATATCTGGTGCTGGCTGTTCTCACAGCAGGGTTGCTGCACAAGAAGGACCTTTGGTCTGACCTCACTCGTATGAAGAAATTTAAGAATACTGTGCTAAGCTACCAATCACTCATTAAAAAGAATTACTAAACCACTTGGCTGGGGAGAAGTGCTCCATCTTGGCTAAATACAGAGCTGCTAATGTGATCCTGGTCACGGTAAAACCTCTGGGCCCGTTTCAGCGCAAGGTGGGCTGGCTGAATCGGTAATGAAGGGTAGAGCTCTCAAATCTGGAGAGACCTGGACCGTGACGGTGCCGAAAGAATGAGTTTTGTACCAGAAACCGGTGGCAGGAAGGAGCCACGTGGTGTAACTGCAAAAGCTTTGGTAAAGTCCCAGGCAAAAGGTTGGAAAGGTAAGAAGCTGTCTATAAGAGATCTGCAAGCTGAAAAATGCGAGTGCAGGCAGCTTCTTCCCATCTAGTCCACCTCCACTGTAGATTTTCTGCTCTGGGTAACTTCACCTGGGCCCAGTAAGGATCCCTCCTTTCTGAAGTGGTTCTCCTGACGCGCGATGCCCGGTTAAAATAGTTGCTATTGGTTCTTTTGGTCTTTCTAATTCTTCTTTCTCCTTCCCTGTGCCCACAGCGAAGCAGCTGCCCACGCAGTAGCCACGCTTGCCGAAGCCACTCTTCAAGGGGGAGGACAAATTGTCCTCTCTGGTGAAACTGCAGCAGCAGTAGGAGCACTTACCGGAGTCCAAGATGCCAATGGTAAGGCTGCTGGAAAGTTTTCTGTGGGTTTTTTTTTTTTTTTTCTTTGCTCTTAGCTAGGCTTTTTTTTTTTCTCTCTTTTCCTTGAAATGCCAAGTTTTCGCTAGTAAAGTGGTTCTGCCTCACTGCAGGTGGTCACTGACTAGGTTGTGACTGAAAAGCCCAGAACAAAACGGCAGCACTAACCTCTGGTTTACTCCCACGGTGCTGATGACTCTGCTCTTTTCCTCCTTCTGCCAGCTTGCTGTTTAGCCTTAGTTTTTTGAGGGGAAAACTTCTTCCCTCTCCGTGCAGCGCCTAGCACAGGGAGGACCAGACTTGGTCAACTAACACCACTAGTCAGGGCCGTCACAAACTCCTCTCCAAAACGCTTCGCTGTGACGTGGCAGAGAGTACGACCAGCGGTTTATTACCCTCTCCATTCCCTTTCTTCCTCAAGACTCTTTTTGTGTGCTTAGTGGCTGCTCTTGAGCAACTGTCGCTTTTCTGCTTGGGTGGCACCTTCCAGTCGTCCCTCGGCGCTCGGCCTCGGGTTGTTTGCCTCCTGCTTTGTTTTCCATCTTGCCGCTGTAGTCGACCGCTTAGTTCTAGGGACTCTCTGTAGCGTTTCTCACCCATTGTCTGAATGTCTCTTCTGCCGAGTCTGGTGACTTTTGCAGTTATTCAAACTAAGCTTGTAGTAAATAAACCAGTAAGTTCAAGGAAACTGGTTCAAGAGGCAATACTGGAACGTACGAACGTGTCTAGCGGGTGCTCATCCGCTGCCTCCGGTTGCGCTGTTCTTCTGCCTGATGCCTGTACCATGCTTTCCAAGTTCAGACAAGCAACTCGCTGGTTATTTCGATTCAGTGGAAGGAGGTGTGTTAAAATAAGCTCAAAAAGGACGCAAAGTGTGAAGTTGTAAAAAAAAACAAAACGAAACAAACCCCCCAAAAAACCCCACCCCAAAACCAAACCAACCAACAAACAAAAAAACCAAACCAAACACAAAAACCTCCCCCCAAAAACATCGCCTTGAGGATGGGACTATTTGGACTTTAATTGTGAAAGGAGGAGCAAGCACGTGCAGTGGGGGGGCAGAGCGTTGCCTTCTTGCCTTGCCACTTTGCGCGTAAAGCAGAAAACTGGCCGGATGAGACCTCGAGTTTGACTTCCATCAGCATCCTCACCTCACAGGGGACGCGCTCGTTTTAAGGCATCGGGGTTTAGTTTGCGACGAAAACGGGGCAGTGGAGGGAAGAGTCATTTTACTCGGGGTGTTGGACTTGATGTCTCTTGCTGTGGAGTCAGCCAGCCTGAAGAGGGAGCAGAGATGAAGTGAAACCCCTGTCCTCAGAGCTGGGAACGCATCTGATACTGAGAGGGAAGAGTAGGGCTGTGGTGTATCCCGCTTTGCCGGCAGCCTGACATGAGGGGGATAAGCGATGTGTGTTTATCGAAGGAAGGATCTGACCCTGGATGCTCAAAACCAGCAACTAATCAGATTTGTAAAAGCACGTTAGCGTCCTTTAGCAGATCTGCACCCCTGCCTCCTTTTGGTCTGCTTCCAAAACGCTTTCGCGGTCTGGATTCCTCTGGATGCTTCCCCTAAACAAGTCTCCTCCTCCACACCCTTCCTGAGTCACTCTACCTCACTCCCCCAGCGTTAATATAACCAGTGTATTCTATCTTAAATTTATTTTATATCTAGTGTTATTATTATTTTTTTAATTATTTTTTTTTTTTAGCAGCGGTGTTGGAAATCAGATGGGATTTAGAGTGCATTAAGGGGAGAGACTGCAGCATATTCCTCTGTGCAAAAACCTCACCCGCAGCCCCTCGCCTTGTTTCCACTCTTCTTCGATTTGCTGTAATCTCCGGTGGTATTAAGGGGAAGGGCTTTGTCGGCGCGGTAGCCCTTGGAAGCGCCATGCTGTTCGTTTTATTACGTAACCAGCTAATATATCTCCCTTAGGGATGCAGGAGATGTTGGTATCCATTCCCGCTGTCTCTGTCTGGGGATGGAGAGCAGATGGATTTCCAGCATTGGCACTGTCGCGGAGGATTTGTCTGCCTTCCCCGTACCCTGAAGCCCAGGGTGTGAGTGCGAGCGTCCTCCTGGACACCGGTGCTCCGTTAGTTGGTGCAGTGGGGACGCTCTGCACGCCCTTCTGGCGGGAGGAGGTGAAATAGGGAGTGATTTGGTGCGATCGGTTGCAGGAAGGTGAAGGGGAAAACGACTGCCAGAGCTACAATGGTATTAATCAGCAAATTCCCCCTGCTCGCTGTTGCTTGCAAAGCCTTAACTTGCTGATATTTCCAATAAATGCTTCTCTCTAGGAATGCTCTTGCCCTTCTGTGGGCCCTTTCTGAGGGATTCCAGTCCCTTACCCACTTTCCCTGGAAGGGATGCAAATAGATCCCCATCTTATTGACAGGGAAAAGGAGGCAGGAGCTTAACAAAATTGCTTGAGGTCAGGTAAGGGGTTTCGCTCCTGATTTTAGCCATTAGATGTAATTATTCTCTTTTTCTAATTTTTTGTTTCTGTCTCTGTTTTCCCCACCCGTTCTCTGGCATCTGAGTAATAATTAAGTGATACAAGACAACCAAGGTGGCTAAAAAGAGGCAACTTCAGTATGTTCGTGGATGTCTCGGAAGCTAGGGCTGAATTCGGTCTTGCCGGGGAGTAGGGAGCCCGGGAGCACGGCTGAACTGCAAAAGGGCTGCGGATAATCTTGTGATCGGTTACGTTTATAGCGAAGGGAAGGAAATAAGATCTCCTGCTCCCGTGCAGTGTCAAACTAGCTAAGTGCATTATGGTTTTCTTGCTACTCTGGAGCATCTGCTCCGAGTCGGGATGCTGGCACCGGTGACCCCATGGTTTGAGCCTCAGATGTTTTGTTCTTAAGTGGCTGGCACTAAATATTCAAAGCAAGTGGAGGGGATCGTAGCAGCACCGATTTCTGAAGTTGGCTGGAAACGGAAAACGCTCCGGTAAGAGGAAACTCTGCGCTCTGGGGATGCTGTCGGTGTGTGCTATGGGCAGCTCTGTGGGATGGAGCTGGCGCTGGAGCCCTCCCGGCGCACCGGGGCCGGAGGAGAGACGCTCGATCGGCGTTGGGATGGAGAGGTGACGGTGCCAGCCTGCAGTCTGGGCCTCGCTCGCTGGAGCATCCTTGTACTGCAGCCTTTTGTTTGACATTGATCCGATCGGGAGCTTGAAAGCTGCTTGGGCTACGGCCTTCCTGGCTTCATCTTTAAATATTGATGAAGCTTTTGCCGAAGCCGTGCCTGCGTGGGGCTGCAGCAGCATGCAGCGCTGCCCGGGAAGGACAGAGCAGGCTCCCTGGCCGAGGAAGGTCGGTTTAACGGCCTCGGTGTTGTCACGAGCCCGGGGTTGTCACGAGCCCGGGGTTCTGGCAGTTTTGCGCGGCGTGCGGCATTTCGAAGGGCCGGTTCGAAGGCAAGAGGGGGGTGGTGTGCTCGAAGCGCCGGCTGGGGATCAAAACAGGGCATGGATGGAGGAGGCGTGGTGGGAAGAGCTGGTGTTGGGAAGACGAGAAGTGGCAGTGGAAGATGATGAAGCCGAGCTGCGGCCGGGGAATTGATTTAACAGACCTGAGCTAGGCGCGGCCGGAGACCCAATGGATCCTTGCTTGTGCACCTCGGCCCTCACGTGCTCCTCTTTTTTTCCTGGTCCCAGAGCACGTTTTCCTGAGGTATCTCCTCCCCGTGCTGCTGGAGGCCCTCCTGGGAGCGCTGATGTGCCTGCTGGTGGCGTGGCAGCACTAAGAGGAGCCTACAGCGAGTCTTGCCCTTCTCCATCCCCCCAGTCACCCACAAAATCCCAACCCAATTCTCCGTACGACCAAAGGGAGCCGTGCTTATGGCTGGGGGTGAGCCAGGATTATCGAGGTGTGATGGAAGCCCAGGGAGAGCATTAGGACTCTGACGTGGGCAAAGGGGGGATTAGCGAGCGCTCTGCTTTCGCAAACAGAGGCAATAAGGCGTCAGTACGGGAGCGGGTCTTGCAAGTTAGCATAGGATAAAGAAGCCGACGGTGGCCTGTAGGGTGACGGGGAACTTGCCACACGGAAGAGCTGTTCCAGCTGGCGCCTTCTATGTCAGAAGCGGTTTAAACGCCGAAAAGCCTTCAGCTCTGGGGGAAGGCCGCCGAGCTTCCCCGCACGAAAGCAGTCGGGTGTCAGGTGGAAACCCGCCTCCACCCTCGGCCGCGCAGATGGGAGATGGGGCACCCTCCTCTCGGCAGCAGGGAGACCTCCAGGCCAGGAGCGGGCTTGGCGGTCCCATCCGGCGCTCTGCAGGAGGAGAAGGCAGGAGTCACGATCCTGTTCTCTGGGCTGCGGGCGTCTCCTAGAGAGCGTAAAAGCCGAGGGAGATACGTTGGGAAAACCTAGTGAAGGGAACTGCCTGTTCTGGCTTTCGGATGCCTCGGGACAGGGCGGTGCGGCCCGCTGATCCGCTGGTAACTGGTGGCTTTTTTGCATGAGGAAAAAAACAAAAACAAAAACAAAAAACAAAACAAAACAAAAAAAGATGGGGGGAGGCTTGGAGGCTAATCTGCTGCAAATGTCAGTCTTTAAAAGAAGTATTTTTTTTTTTTTTCTGTGGATCTCCTTTTTAGGGAAGATGGACCCAAGTGTGTCGCTAGCAACTTGGCAAAGTGCAGATCAGCTTGCTTGCATCCCAGAGGACAGGAAGGAAAGAGTTCAGCTTTTTGTAGGGTCTTCCCAGTGGGAACAGATTTTTTCAGTGAAGCGTTGCCCTGAAACAGGTATGATTTAATCCCAATGTGAAGGACAAGTGAGAAAAACCATTTTTGCAGGTGTGTTTCAGATGACAGGGGAGAAGAGAGGCCGGTGGCAGCCAGCAAGGAGAGCTGAAGTGGATTGAGCGTGAGTTCCTGGGTGCACGTGCTGAGCAGATCCAGGAACAGGGAAAGGTGTTTCCTCGAGGACGAATTGCTGTGCACGAATGAATTACTGTCAGCAGCGCGATG